ACAGAAATATTTGTTATAGATAAGAAATGTTTCGGTCCATTAAGTCGTATACATTTCTTACCGTTACCACAATTGGACCTCGCCAGTACGACGATTCTGGTAACAAAATAATTTAGATGGTTTTTTGCAGTATACAAATTTTTAAGATAAAAATAAAGACAAGAAAGAGAAGAAATAGAAGACAGAAAGTGAAGAAATGAAAGAAAGGGGAAAGTTATAAAATTATAAATTCTTACCTACTCGGTATTTGTCGGATCCATGAATTTCTTATCTTGCTGAATTATGTTACGATGAAGCTTGGGTGACTGACGATATTTCGGCGACAGGAGGATGAGGCTTTTCAGGTGGTCATGACTTTACTGACTCTGCTTAGTGGAAACGCCGGGATAATCAAACAAACTTTATCAACACAGTAAAAAGCATGCAGTCGAAATTTGGGTTGGATGGGCTAAGTAGCGCCACCTCTACCGACAGCGAGCACGTTGAACAAATCTTAATACTTCAACACTACTAAACTTTACAACAAAATCATACGCTTATATAATTACCACAAAACGCAGGACAGATCACATAGGATGGAGAGGTCAATCTTTGCAGACTGACCTCTCGATCCCATGTGATCTGCGGTTCGATTCTGGATTGCTCTTTGCTTCTCCTGCGCGGCATTTTTTGCTCTCTTTATACTTATATTGTTAGTCCCCATCTTTTCAATATGCTAATGAGAGGGGTGCAAACAGTACAAAAATATGTTGGAAATTTTTGTTGCTTTAAAGCCTGCACTAGAAAAAACCAATTAGGCAAGTTAGAATCAAGTGCTTCATCGTTTCTTGTTATTTTTGCTTTCAGAAGGTACTGTCGACCGCGTTTGTGTCACAACAGTTGTTGATCCCAATGATTTAGTCGATATCAGTGACGAGGAGCTGGAAGAAAAAGACGACATCAACATCAGTTCAGGGTAGCCGTGCTTGTTTTTTTTTTATTTTTTGCATTTTGTTCCCGAAATTCAATACAAACTGGAATAAATGCAAAGAGAGAAGAAATTGCGAGGCCAGTTATGGATTCAGCTAAAATTCTTTCGCTCCTACCGAAGCATTATTTTGAGTTGACGCTTCAAAAGAATCTTGTAAACGGTTTTGGAAATACTTTTTTTTTTGTAATTGGGTTTGTAATAAGGAATTTACTTCTACTTGGAATTAACTGTGAATAGAAATGTTCGAAGTTCTGCAGTGGTGCACGCTATACGTGTTGGGGCTTCTGGTAAAGTTGAGGAGGAGCGGGAGGAGGGAGAGAGGTTGCCGAGTAGTGCATAACGTGCTTAGCCAATTTCTTGCATTTTTACGTATCACTTAAATAGGTATATGTATGTGTACATTTTCTGGCTTTTTGTGAATTCATTTTGGGAAAGGAGAAAGATGGGGATGGGGGAGGGGGGAGGGAGGAGGGGTTTCAGCGCTGTTGCCGATTCTCGTTACATTTTAATGATTGGCAGGATTTTTCTATCATCTGCGCAGGGCATTTCTTTTTCCACGCGCACATTTTTTTAGCGAAAAAATTCCCGCTCAGTTTAAGGTGGAGCTCTTCCTTTGTTCCGATCTCTGTAGTTATCTCACACTGTCATTTCGTCAAAAGCAGTGATAACTCAATGTAACTGAAGTTTTTATAAAGCATTATTGGATTTTCAAGATTTGTCATAGCTGCTTCCACTTCATTTTGTTGATTTCGTACTAATCGATGTTTAATACTAAAAAAAAATGTTATTTTCAGGCCATCACAAATATCACTGCGCTCGAGACTCTCCTTTCCACACGTTTTTCGCGACAGCCCTTTTATACTAGAATGCTTGTCCGACAGGTTCATTGGTGAGCTACGCTGCGAAGACAACGAAAATTGTAATATTCTTTTATACATGAAACTTGAAGTATTTATTTCATTTTTTATTATCTATCTGAAATAGTTTAGGCAACAGTTATTTAATGATCTAACTGTGCTTCTATGCAGCTGACAACTTCTCCAGTTGTTTTAATCAATATTGGTCAGACTGTTGCTGATCCTAATTCCCGTTTTGAAGGGATTATCACCTCAGCGATTCTTCCTGCTAAGCATTAGTCGTAAAGCACCACTACTTCATCTCACACTTTGTCATGGAAAACTTGCGAAAAACCGGCCGGAAAGCCGCCACAAAGAAAAAATCAAAAGGAAGGTGTGTTTGCTCTAAAAAGCAGATACACAGTAGATGTGCTGCCAAGCTGGACCTGGGTGCAAGGACTGGTGGTGTAGTGGTTACACATTGCAATTGGACGTGAAGAGGACTGGTTCGATTCCTTCACGGTCCAGAACAGTTTTTGAGGAAGGGGTCCGCTCACGACACACGTTGTCATCTCTGTCAGGATACGGTCCGTTCCGATCGGAAATCACTTTTTATTAATATATAAGCATTTACGCTATATTCCATTCCATAGCTCCCAACACAAATCATTCAACATTTTTGTGAATCTCGTGTAAATTCGTATGCGTTGGATATAAAAATCAGTCGTCGTCTCGATAAATATTTTGTGGGTGATCTTGATTTTTAAAAAATGGCTGTGGAAGTTTATTTTTTGCGTGGTAAAAATTCCCCTTGTCTTGTGATCTCCGGAATGTTCACAGTTCAAGGCATTTTTGTTGCATCACTTTTACAAGTCGTAAGTTCTGTATGAATGCGTAATAATTTTTTTTTTGAAAAGTTGTGGGAATCATTGAAGTACATCTAGGAATTTTCAGTGATGCAGTTAAAGCAGTCAAAAAATTTGAAACTTATGAAGTCTGAGGATGGGAACCGCTTGTTATCCGGATTGGAGCAGATGCAGCGCATTCAACACCATCTGAATTGTGGCTTTCTACCAGGAAACAAAGTAAAATCAACATTTGTAATTAAATCAGCATTTGTAATACATCGTACAAGCGGCGGGTACTAACTGGAAGTGTGCAGTCTAAGATAGAAGGGCATGACACAGAAAATGCCAGTAACACACTAGCATCAAATGCCCACAGTGACAGACGGGATTGGTATTATTGTTTACAATAATTACAAAGATCACAATCGTCTTACTGACGAGGTCCAATTGTGGTAATGATAAGAAATGTATACGACTTAATGGACTGAAACATTTTTTACCGTTTATAATAATTTTATTGAAATAATTTTTTTTTTATTTTCACTAATTTCTTCATATTTTTTTCCATTTTTCTTTCTGCTTCAAAATATCTTTCTATTATTGGTATATTTGGCATTCCGGAGAGGAAATTTATCTGAGATCAGTTGTTCCTTTTTTTTTAATGGCAGCATCTTTTTTTTTTAATGGCAGTATCCGTTTTTGCGTTTTGTGCTGTGTAACAGCAGTACAAAACGCATATTGTTACGGGGTTGTCTGTGTGT